CTCTGCGACGCCCAGCGCCTCGACTATCTCTGCCGCCCGCCGGATAAGGGCCTGGCCCCGCTGGAAGGGGTCAAGAGCCTCCGCCCACTCGCTCCTGTCTATGACTGCATGGTATGACAAAGGTAGCGTAAGTCGATTTGCACACGAAGCCGTGGGGCTGGCGGGGACGCTCTGTCAGACTGCTCCTATTACGCCATCGCTCCCTCTCTCCCTCCCTCCACTCACCGTTACGGAGCCACGAGTCTGCGCGCGTCCCGAACTCATCAGCACAAACAGAGATTGTGTACCCTGTTTGCCCGCTCGAGACAGGCACGTATTGGCAAATACGTGTCGGCGGTATAGGCAGATCCACCGTCGCATCCGTTCCCGCCATGGTCCGGATGCGCAGCGTCGTTGTCGTTGCAGTCGTGCTGCTGCTTAGTGCAGTCACGATGTCACTTTCGGTATGTGGCATTGCGCCAGATGGCGTGCGCGGGAAAGGCTTCGCGTCTTCATGCGCCTTCAAGATACAAGAGCGATGAGTGAGAAAAACATTAATACCAAGCAAGGAAAAGACAGTCTGAAAAGGAAAAAAAACATCTTCGGCTGCATGGCAAAACACAATGTAAACACATTCACGATAAATGGCAACTTCGGCTGTTCAACCGTTCTAGACGGAGGATGTCAACACTAGGCGACCCGGATGTGTGTCGGGCGACTAAAAAGGGAGCTCGCGTCCATAGAGGATGTAGCGTTGGGTAATTTGTGAATCATGTAACCGAGGACCAGAACCAAAAAAAACGAAACTACTCTTCCTCACTGTGCTTTATCCATTTCGTACGAACAGCGGTTCCCTGACTCTCTGTTGGTGCTTTTCCACCTGCGTTTTCGGACGAACGGAGCGGAGAGCAGAGGGCAACTCAAGTTGCAGCGGACACACCAGAATGAGAGGCTGTCTTGTACCTGGACTGGCAATGCCTTTTATATCGTTTACAATCGTTGTTATTACGCTCATGAGCAGCACGCAGGTATTTGGCTGTGGGCCGAAGTCGATGCGTTGCTTTCTTGCTGGTCCTTCTACCCTGAGTAGGACAAGAAGAAGAGGCTGCTCGACCAGTGCCTCCCAATTGAGGCCTTTACGGGCAGGATCTGGCAGCTCCGATGACGGCGCTTTTAAAGCCAAAAGAGAAAAATTGCAGAAAGAGAAGGACAAGCTCGCGGCTCTCATGGCAAAGCAAGAAAGGGAGGCTGTAAAGAAATATATGGAAACGCAAGCGAAGAAGGAGCGCGAGTCGCAAGCCAAAATTAGACAAGCGCAAGAATTTATGGCTCAACGAGCGAAAGGCGGCGGGAAGGATGCACCTTGGTCTAAGGGTGGTGATGATTCCACTCAGTCTATTCCCAAAAAGAAGGCCCGAAAATTTCAGCAAATCTCCCTTACGTGCCGGCAGTTTAGCATCGACGATATCCAGGACGTGACTTTCGAAGGGAGCCATCTCGACGATGTCCCCTTCCTAGGCCTTCCTGAGGTAGCTGTGTTCGGGCGGTCCAATGTGGGGAAATCCTCTTTACTAAATTGCCTTGCGGGGATCAACAAAAAGGTCGCCGTTGTGTCCAAGACCCCAGGACGCACCCAGCAAATCAACCTGTTCAAAGTCCACGATTCCAACGGCCCCGTCTCTGTCCTTGTCGATCTCCCCGGATACGGGTACGCAAAGCTACCCAAGGCCCTTCAAAGCGACATTGGTGCACAAGTGCGTCGGTACTTGAGTGACCGTCCAACCCTCCGCTTGGCAGTCTTGCTGATGGACGCAAGGCGGGAGCCTCAGAAAAGTGATTTGAACATGATGAAATACTTCCGGGCTGCCAATGTTCCTTTGCTTGTGCTTGCCACTAAGGTTGACAAGCTCAAGCACGAAGATATCGAAGAGAATCTGGGTAGGTTGCACCAATATTTCAAGCTGCCGGTGGGCATGCCAGTCGCGTTTTCCTCCGTGACGGGAGTGAACAAGCGGGCGGTCTGGAACGCGATCCGCGATGCATGCGTGGGAGAATATCTCGACTTGAGTGAAGAAGCAGCAAATGACCGTGCCAAGACGGAAGAGGGGGAAGGAGTGTGAGTAATAAACAGGTGCGATAAGAGGTTACACACGGAGCTTCAACAAAGTAAAACACATACTCTGTCGATACACGAATGCACGCCGTACCATCTCGGCTGTTTCCATCTTGTTCGCCTGAAAAGCTGATGTTTTGCCCCTCTCTCTCCTATTCGGACATCACTCGATCCGCGACCGTTTGGATTCCCCCACCCCATTTTCCCCTGTCCCGACCCCGTTCCCCATTCCCTTTCTTGCCGTCAACACCTCGTCCTTTGCAAAGGTCTGCGCGACCAGTAAGGGGAACACAAGCGTGGCATCTCCGTACACCTTGATCGGGCGTGCATCCGCCCGCACTTTTCCCCAAGACACGGCTTCGTCGGGGCGGGCTCCTGAATCGCTCCCGTCGAACTCCTGCCCGGTATTCACAAAGACGGCAAAGTCCGCCCCATTCCTCATCAAGTTGGCGTTGCACGTGTGGTGTTTGACCAAGCCTCCTCCGAGAATGATCATCCCCGTGGCCTTGGCATGCACGGCTTCGTCGTTCAAACGCCGGATGTCCGCGACCATGTCGATCGCGAACTCGGGTTGCTTGTACGAAAAAAAATACAGCATGTCCCCCAGTGAGCCGTCCGTCAGGGCCGGGCAGAAGACAGGAATTCCGTGTTTGGCCGCCCAGTAGCAGATTGAATCCGGGTGGTTGATCTCCCTGCCCAGTCGCTCAATGAGGCGGGACGGGCTCCATCGTTGCCCGTAGGCGGTTTGTTCCGTGGCCATGGCGTGTAGGATCGGCGTCAACCAGTCTTCAAAAAGGCAATAATTTTGGTTGGGTACCAACAGGTTTCCAATGCGATTTATTCCACGCTTACGGAGTTCAGCCCCGGCCATGGTAAAGTCTCCGAGTCGCGTTGCTGCCAAACATTTGATTAAATCCTCCTCAACGCCTCCTGCTGTCGTCACTACGACATCCACCATTTTATGTTCCACGAGGAACCGCAAGGTTTCTCTTAGGCCTGATGAGATGAGATTGGAGGTGTAGGCTAGGAAAATTTTGCACTTTATTTGAGCACGTACACCGGGATCGATCAAATCCTCATCCTCGTCTGTAGCTACGGGAACATCGCTCAGGCGCCAGGCTCGCATACGTTCGATTTCCTTGATAGCCAAACCCAAGTTGGTCGCTTGAAATCCTGTGGTTAGATATGAACCTAACAATCCATGCAATGTCACGCCCTCAGGCGATGAAATGGCGGCATTCCAGTCAAATCCTTGGACCGTGGGCGTCTCCGCTGGTAAGGGATCAGAGGGCAGGAGGACAGCAGTTTTTGCTGTCTCGTGCGTCGAAGGAGGGGCTGCCATGGTATCAGGACTCCCCATGCTGCCACTCCCCTGCATGAAATATTCTGTGTTCGATGGACAAACGGAGGATAGTCAGAATAAAGCATCGTAAAGCATCGCAAAACGCTTAGGAGGAAGTAAGTGGGCCATTCATCTGCATCGGGAGCCGGGAGGTTACGTCGCACCGAGTCTGGTTGGACGTGTCAGACGACATTTTAAAAGATAAATGTAGTCTCTTTTGATCTCACCACGCTCTTGTGCACATAAAATTCTTTTCCATTTGTAACAGATCACAAGACATGCGGGCTTTGGCAGTTCGGGGATTATTACTTTTTGTGAATATCTGTCGAAGTGCCGCTTTTTCTAGCGTATCAAGCCAGAAAAGAAGTAAAATGTCAGGTGTAGCTGCCGCTGGCGTCAAAATATCTCGCGACGGCGACAGTAGTGCTTTCTCGTATATTGATGTCATTTTATGTCGACACGGGGAAACTTGCCATAATGCTGAAGGGCGTTGTCAGGGAATGGAGGATGTGTCACGCCTGACATCGAAAGGCGAGTCTCAAGCTCTTGAACTGGGAAGGGCATTGGCTGCACGTAAACAGCGCTTCGACAGAATTTTTATCTCACCATTGGCACGTGCTCGACATACCTTCGATCTAATGGAAAAGGAGTGGCGCAGGTTGGGTTGGACGGATTACCCCAAGTGCGCTCCCACATTCGTGCCCGAGATCCAGGAAATTTGTCTATACGATTGGCAAGGGCACCTACGTCAGGACCTTCAGGCACAATTCCCAGAAGAATTTCACAACTGGATGAATGAACCTGCGATTTTTCGTGTGGGAGACCACTTTCCCGTCCGCGAATTATGGATGCGAGCGCGACGGAGTTGGGAGCAAATCTTGACGCAGTCGCAACCAGGAGAGAGGGTTTTAATCGTTGCCCATAGCGGTATCAATCAGGCTATGTGTTTCACTGCTCTAGGATACGGGGAGACAATGTATCGGCGCTTGAACTTCCCCAACTGTGGGGCATTGCGGCTGCGGTTGGCTTTGCCCACGTCTCTTGCTGAAGCAACAGCGCTTGTACAAGTCGGGGGGTATACCCTCCCTGTGACTGACAGCGAAACAATGTTCGCTGCGAATGAATGTGGCGAGGAGGGTAGTCCAATGCGGCACTATCGTCCGGTGCATCCAAACGACTGGGAACCGGAAGAGCACCTACCTACACGTATGGGCTTGAACCCAAGAGAAACCTCCGCACCAGCGGTGGGCCCCACGATATAGTACGAGACAGCGGAAGCAATGCGTATCAATTCACCGACATCCACCGAAATTTCTTCTGTAAATAAGGAGCTGAGTGTGTACTATTGATATTTCTCCGTGTGCTTGCTGAATCTTTTGCTTTTTGTTGAGTGTTGGCAAGCTTCTTTCGTCACTGTTCTACATTTATCGGCTGCATGGTACGAAGTTATATACACCAATAGAGCACAAGGACCATCTCTTATACAAAGGTGACAAACGTACAAGGCAAACCTGAATAGGTGTCCTGCGCGGCCTGCGTGCCGTGTCTAGTCGAGAATACAGGCATAAAGAGTAATGCAATGTAACCAAGAGCAGACATGCTTTCTATCGTTGTATCGCTCTGCCTCGCTCCACGTCTCGCTCCACGAGCGGTAATTGACGTGGTTGAACTTTTAGTCCAGGGAGAGTGAAGCTACCGGAGGGTTGCGCGCAAGGCTGTGGGACAGGTGCGGGTCGAATAGTAGTAGACGGAACATCAAAGGACATGGCCACGCAGTCCCGGACTCTCAAACCTTGAGCGCCGGCCAGAGATCGTACACGGGCATAACCCTTTAAAAACGGGGTGGTGTATAACGCCAAGGCTGTTGCGATCAAGCTGACGACCCCGAGATAAATCGGACGAACGCCTCCCTGTAATGTCAACACGGAACTTGTCCCTTTTCTCAAAAGCCACGAAGCCAAAGAGGGATAGGCGGCCCCGACAGCGGCATGTGCGGTGTGGTAGAGCGTACCAAGACCTGCATAAGCAATGCGGGTAGGGAAAGGCTCAGCCATCAAGGCGGCTAATGGCCCTTGCATCGTGCCAAGACCTAAGCCGAGGGCAAGAATGTACCCTCCAAAGAGCCAGCCAAGAGGTTTATGACGACGCACCGTACCTGCCCCCAAAATAAAGAATAACCAAGTGCACACACAGGTCAAAACTGCCCCAATACGGTACAGAAGACACCGCGAGAAGGACAGTCCGCGGAGAACGGCGCTCACAATGGTAACAGCAACTGCTACTAACAGCGCCATTGCTATACATCCTTGCACGTCTTTAGTGGCGGCTGTTGCACTTCTTTCTTCGTTATTATGTCCGTGAGGCCCAAAGCCACTCCCGTGTGGAAATATAATTGGCCACTGATAAATCAACATGGCTTGAGTCCAGGCGTCGATCAAGAGCGTCGTCCACCCGAAAAACAGTGCCCAAAACCGCTGCTTTCCCATGGCCAACCAAGGATATCGCTCCATGTCCCCCATCTCTCGTTGTCGAAAGAACTCCGTCTCATGGTCCCCACAGTACGCCCATGCGGCTGTTGGAAGCATGAGACCACCCCCGATGCAGAATGCTGCCCGCATTGGTGCTCCACCTCCATCCTGCCCTAATAGCTGGTACGCGGCCCCAGCGGCCAGGCCCAAACCAATAAAAACGCCGGAGTGTGAAATCCCTGCGGCTACAGCACCATGATTCTCATCTTTACAGGCTTCCATGGATATCAGGATGGTACCTGGCCACTGACCACCAATGCCAATGCCTTGCAAGAAGCGTATCACGGCCCATACACCCGACGGTCCATCCTCTCGAGAATCACGGAAAGGGAAACAACCCATGGCAATTGTCGTGAGGCCGACTAAAAGCAGCGCCAAGGATAAGGCGGGACGACGACCGTGCAAATCTCCAAAATGACCAAAGAGCGGTGCACCTACGAAGCGACCGGCGAAGAGCAAATAAAATGCAGCCGGCGACAATCTATAGGCATTTCGTGCCATTTCAGAATCCGGGACGTGAGCTGAGGGGCCAGTGGGAGAGATGAAGAAGGTCAATCCAAAGCAGTAATACGCAAGTGTTGATGATAGGAAACCCGCAACGTGGTGGTTAAAAAATGCATCAGCTGATATGGTGGCCTCGCTATGGCTACCTTCATTATCCTGTGAATCATCCTCCTCACTCTGGCTTACGACATCACTGGCAATACGGCGGAGACAGCACCCAAGGAGACCGGGATGAACCTCTGAATTCTCTTCGGCTTTTTCTTCTTGAACCTCAGACGCCTCATCCGGTGGGTTCTCTTGTCGCTGTCTGAAACGTCTCCACCTTTGTAGAAGCCGAGATATAGTTGCATTGTAATATAAAGTCTGGCTTTGTGGCAAGTCGGTCTCGGGGGTCGCCTCCGGCGCAGTGCTGGATCTATGCATACGTGTGACTCCCGAGGCGACTCCAAACGCTGCGCGCGATGTAACACATCTCCTTGTGTGAGAGGCGGGTGAGCGAAGCTGTAAGTGAATATGTAGACTTGCTGCGAGACCTCAACTAGAAGAAAAGGTACATGAAGTACATGAACGGCTTAATTTCTTTCTGGAACATTACAGCTCTTATCAACACGGCTAAATAATGTTCTCAATTGAGGTCGCCACGTACCATATTGTTCTGATCGCTGATCATCGCTAGAGATACTGCAATATCAGATGGCAGGAAAATGAATAGGAGCACTTCATGCATCAAAAGGACCAAAAGGCATCAAAAAAGCATCCAAAGGGACAGATTCCTCTCGTGTATTATAAATCTGACCTGCTCTATGGATTGCACGTGCAGATATCTCACGATAGAAAGCGACTTCTTTGGTAATGTTGCGCGAGAGGCCCTCCTTCCTCGGTTCCCACCCGAAAGCTACTCCAGAGAAAGAATGGGTGAGTTTGCACGAAGAACTTTATGCATGTCTTTTGTCCGTTATGAAGCCTTGCCATGAAGAAGTTGTTCTGCTTACGCTGGACGCCCCAGTCGAGAAGGAGTATGGCTTTGTTCGCAGACATGAGGACAAAAATGGCGCTGGAGCGAAAGGTCAAGTGGGCGTTGTCTTCTCAGCTGATGGCGCATGGAACAAAATGCATCTGGTGGACGTTAGGTCATGTCACAATTTATCCTGGGATCAATGCCAGTACATGTATCAAGTCTTCCCGGGCAGCGGCTTCCGCAAGGTGGGATAATGATTTTTTACGGTACAGCCCCATCGGATCCCCAGACCAAAGTAAGCGAGGGATGGCACAGGCTTAGCGCGCCCAGTGACGCGGAAAAACAATCCAGTTCACGATCTACTTGATGGCCTTGCAGTATGCAGGCGGAACTTCGAAGCATGCGCGGCAGCTTAAACCCATCTCTGAGTTAGTTGCCGCGCCAAGGAGCCTCAGAGGGTGGGCAGGTCGCTACCCTTGTGAGAATTTATCCTCTTTGTGGACGCTGTCTCAAGGCGATATGGCTGCTCATTTTCGCGTCGATTTGCCGCACATTTGGCTGAGCAAATTCAAACTCACTCTCGCATCCTTATTGTCACACAACCCCTTGCTCGGCTGCTTCTGGTGCGGATCTAAGTGCGGTCTTCTAGGGTACATATGCATCGTCGGATCGAGCTGTGCAGCAAAATCGGCCAAGGGCGTGCCGACGAGAATGTCGTCTTTAACGGTAAAGCAAAACTTGCGAGCATGAAAGCTATCTAAATGATCTCCGGGAGCTCTTTGTTAGGAAAGGGTTCGATACAAAATTGTAAAAAGCGGCGATACTTTGCTTTGTTCTTAGCCTGACGAAAACAAAGCTCTTGTTCCAATACAAAGCGACGTTCATCACGCGTTGGCCAACAAAGCATTCATCAGGCACACTAAGTGATTTCCTTGTTAATTAGGAGACCAAATAGGAAGATGCGACTGTCGTCATTCTAAATTAATGGCCAAAAATTCGATCCAATCGCGTGAGAAGTACTTTTCTTTATTTCAAAAAGTTCCCCTGGCGTCTCCGAATCAAGACACGAAAACGACTGACTTTGTGAAATGAAATCGACAGACGCGAATGAAATGTCGATATTACATGTGATGAAAGCAATGGAGTGTTTGAGGCACTGCAGTGTAGAAGGCATGTACAGCTGGGTGGGAGCCGACAGCAATTTTCTAACGTTGAATGAAAGTCTTGCTGTCCAGAAAGTGTCAAAAGCGCCAAAAATGCAACAAAGATCGAGCAATAATACCACATAAGCAGCCCATGCCTGAGAAAACATACTCGACCACCGTGCTCCCTTGCTTCAAACAGCAGTCGCTAAAAAAAGATCATTTTTGGGGGGAGGGGGCGATAAAAAAACTTGAACGCCAAGGAAAAAGCGAGGCCGGGAAAAAGAGACAGGAACAGTCCTGAGCTTTCGTCACGCCCTTTGCCGCGTCATCGTGGGACCATTTCGCCCACCTGGACACCAACGTGCACACACTTCTGACTAAAATTTTACTAAATTTTCATTGTAGTGCACAGGCCTTAATATTTCGTTTCAAAGGTGGACGTCACAAGTCGTTTTTGACTGGACAAGAGGCCGCCGACTCCCCGGCAGCCTCTGGGGGGATTCCGGCAGGAGATCGACCTGGCTTCTCTTTCGATTTGAAGTAACAGCTCGTTGTTTCCCCATTATTGGTAAGGTGCCCAAAATCTGTAATTCCTGGCTCATAGAGGGATGGATGATGCTTGCAAGGGCTTAGGTCACGCCGTAATGCCTAGGCAAGGACCGGAAATCCCCCGAGCGCCGACAAGATCGCCATTCCTAAAATTTTCACGTTCCTGTTAACCCTCACCGTTCTCGTATTTGAACGTCCCATTCCCATATCTCCCGCTCAAAAAT